TTATTTCCTTTTATTTTAGTAAAGCATTAATGTGTCCTGACCAATTATTTGCAACATTAAGTGCATGGTATATGTGTGCAATATCATTTAATCGTTGGTATTCTGTATGTCGTCCATCATCATATTTTTTTCGTACAACAACAACAACAACAACAACAACAACAACAATAAACAATAATAGAAATAGTATTAATCATGAACAAAAAATCCGTACATCTAGTTCAGCAACGTCACAATCCAATTCATTATTTATACCATTTTGTTTTCCTATTAATTGTTGTTTATGTTTAACACGTAACACGAAATTTCGACAACATTTACAAGCATTTCGTAATATTGCTGTTATGACTTTAATGAGTATATTATGTTGTCTTTATCCAATATTTATGCAAGAAATTCGATCTTTCGTATCAATAAATGCATCTATGTCTAATTTAAGTCGTAAAAAATCTAATTCATATCCTACTATACGGAAACGTTGTTATTATAGTCAAAAACATGAATATGCTTATGATATTATTGGTATTATATTATCATGTTTTTTACATATATTACCATTAACATTTGTTGCTGCAATGAATATAATGATTATATTACGATTAAAACAACGACAATATCGTATGACAAGTTCAACAAATTTATTACAATCTCAAACATCATCTAAAAAAATAAAATCATTAAATTATTTACCAAAGAAAAATTCTAATTCATATAACAATTCATTATCAAAAAAAAGAAATCAAACTAATTTACAATCAACATTAATAATAGATCGAAAAGATCAAGCAACATCAACTGATTTATCAATTCAAACATTACATCTATCAAATCCATTATCAACTAAATCAAATAATACAAGAACAGCAAGAAGACATCATTCAAGAGATCGAACAATTACAATTATGCTTGTTAGTGTAGCATTATCATATTTAATATTAACTCTTCCTTATCGTTTATTTTGGTCATATCATGTTTATATAAAACGTGTACATCCAAAAAAATTAGATTCATCTATATATTTATCAAAAATGCTTTGTATTGATCATGTACTTCGTACAATACGTAATATACATTATGGTACAAATTTTGTTTTTTTTATTTTTCTTTCTAAAACATTTCGTCGTAAATTTCGACAAATATTTATTGAAAGATTTTTTCAATTAACAAATCATTTATTTAATCGAAATTCTACAACAATAAATAAAAATTATACAATTTATTCGAAAAATAATCGTCAACGACAAATAAATTTTAAATTAGAAAATAAACGAAATATAAAAACAAATAATATTGAACATGTTATTGGAATAGAATCATTTTCAAGAAGTATATTTGATGAAACACCTAGTTTAATTGGTGATATACGTATACAAGAAGATGAAATTATTCCAATTATAGGACTTGAACATAATAATCTGTCGTGATATGATTATTAATGGTAGAGAGAGTGATATGATTTAATTAAATTTTCAGTAATCAATATTCCGGTTCCGGCTTAATTGATTCCTCAAAGGATTTTGTTTTGTTTTGTTTTGTTTTTGACATGCAATATATTCTTATTTATGTGAAAAAGTTTAAAAAAAAAAAAAAAAAAGAAATCGTCCTTAAATGTATTGTATTGTGTTTTTTTTTTTTGAATAGATAACAGTGAATCTATAAAATAAGATATCAAAAATATTGAATGAAATAATTTAAAATTTTTAAATATATATTTTTTCAATAAAGAAAATGAATATATAAAAGAAAAATTGACAAACGAATTGATTAGATATATTCGACACGATTTATCAATAATTAAACATGTATTTAATAAAATCATTTTAAAAAAATCTTTTGAGATTTCAGAAAAATAAGTATATAATATATATGATCAATAAAATGAAGTTAAAATTATGTAGTTCACTTTATAAAATACTATGTCTTATTATTAAAAAAAAACTAGCTGAACAACTAGGTATTTCATGACTTTGGGACCTATTATTAACGCTTAAGCTTCTTATCACTAATTGTTACAGATAGTTCATATTGACACAAATAGATCTCATTATGTTGTCATCTTATAAACAAGTAGATTCTAAGAAGAGATAAGAATAAAATAGTAGATAGGTTTTTGAAATACATCAAACCAATCATTCAACCAGAAGATAAATTCTTTAATGATGTTGTTTTTTTTTTTCATTTTATCATGTAAACTTAAATTATTATGGAAGTTAGAATTTGAAAAACAAGTACATAACATTGAATTTAGTAATTTTTCAATTATCAGTGCATAATTTAAAGAAGAAGTCAGCATTAATCTAATTGAAGTTGATATATTTATAAAAGTTTAAAACATTATCGATAATTCAAAAATTGAACTCATGTCTGTAACAGAAAGAATTTTTACATATATAACATAGAAAGAAAAATTTCATGGAAATAAATCCAACTAATAACATCTTACATAACGTATTAACTATGTTTATGTAATTAACTGTATTAGTAAGAAACTGCTCAAGTCATGAATAATAATCACCTGGATATTATCTATCAAAAGCAGGGCATATTTCGGAAGAAATTTTCATTAATGGTTGTCAATTAGTAATTTGATATGTTTTAAAATATAGCAACTTAGAATAATTAGTTACTAAATTTAGATGAAATATTTAATTATTTTTGAAGAGTACAAAATTCCAGTTTCTTGACATTAAAAAAGAATGTTCTTTTTCCTTTTTAATCCGTGTACTGTACTAATACTTCTTCTCTAGTTAAATTAACTTAATTCCAATTAATATTAAAAAAAACGCAGAAACATAAATTACTTTTGTAGAACTGTGTTATTATACTTGACATATAGAATATAAACAAAAGATTAAAGAATAAAAAGACGAAATCAAAATATTCGTTAATGAGAAGAAAATTTTGTTGATTTTTCTGGAAAATTCATTTTCTAATATGAAAATTTTTATTTTAGTTAAGGATTATTCAAATAATCTCTTTTAACTATCATTATATTACCCATAAATTGAAAAGATAAAATTATATTTTATTTACAGTTCATTAAGCAAATAATCTAGACATATAGTCACATTAGATGAAAGTTTCATGAATCGATTTAAAGTTCTTTCCATTCTATAATTAACAAAAAGCAATGCGCAAAAAAAACGGCATTTGTAGGACAAAATGTCATTCTAATTACGTATTCCAAAATAAGCACGATGACATTAACGCTTATTTTAATTTAGTTTTCAAAGAAAGAAAAGCTTTCAAGACTTATAATTTTAGCAATTAAATATTAAAATCAAAGATCAACATTCATATTTGATCATATATATCAATTCACAATACATAATTATATTTCAGTAATCAATCTTTGACTACAAAGCAACAGTAAAAAAAAGAGAAAAACCTATGGCGTCAATTAGAAAATGTTCTTTTTACCATGATAATTAATATCTTTGTTTCTAAACTATGTTCATCATGTCCTCATAATGCTTAAAGCTTATATAGAATGATAAATCTATTCTAATTTTCATGTTCATATCTCAGTTTAAATATTATATTGTAATGTTTTATAGAATATGAATTTTGATCTTAATCAATGATCTTTCTTCAATCAAAAGATGGATACATTTATTGTAGTAATAGAAAATAGAATTAAGATAGTATTTATTTCTGAAACATTCAGAATATGAGAATTAAATATTGAAATGACAGAATTAATTATCAGATTCTTATTGAATTAATAATTTCTCAACTAAGAAACAAAACTGTTAGTTTTCATGTAAAAAATTCAAAATATCACTGGATAATCTTTAAAATTAACTTACATAAAATTTTATGAGATTCTCAATGTGATATTGTTAAGAAAATCTTTTAAGAGTCTTATAAACAACAGCTAGTATCTATTGTTATGAAACCTTGTATTATCATACTAGGCACACTAGATCTCCTCAGTTTTATTCAAATTTCATCAACTTCTCGTTTTCATAGAATAGATATCGGTGTCACATTGAACTTATGGTATAGCCCAGAGGTTCAAAGAAGTCTTGAAGCTTGTCATAAACTATGCAGCTGCTGAAAATATACAGGGCATCTGCCTATCATGGTTTTTTTTGTAAATTTTCAAAAGAAAATTTTGCTTTTTTTGGGGAGTTAATTCACTAAGTTAATGTTTGTTTTTTCTTATTGTTTATTATTATTTTCTTCTATGAATCATCAGCTGATTCTCATCAGTTTCTGATTCATAAATATATAATTATAATTTAGTAGAATTAGATATGTTCTCTTCAGCTATGTAGTTCATTTAATATATTCTTATTCAAAAGTAGAACTTTTCCACAAGTAATGTTTTCTTCTTTTTTTTTTTTGTCTTTTCTCAGAATAGAACTTGGCAACAGTATTTCGAACAGGAATATTTTCAGATGTTTTCGATCAATTACGGTTAAATCCGGTTGTTTCTGGAAGCGACCAGGATTATCAACTTGGAATGACTTTCTTGTTTTCTTATGTAGACAGTTTTCACTTCCATTCTCTTGATTTTATTCGTCATTCCTAATTTAAAACTTGTGTCTATTTTCATTACTCGCAAAGTTTTATGTTGTGAGCATCTGTTTGTATTTTTCTAATCTTTAAAAATAAACGCATATACGATTCACAATAAAACACATTGTTAACAAAACCAGCAGATGTAGAAACTGAAGTAAATCATGTGTGAATTTTGTAAGATCATATTAGAACTGACTTAAGAATCTGATATAGTATTATATTATCAGAAATACTGGCTTTGAGGTTACTCATGATTATATCTATTAATATTCTTCTTCAACGAATGAACGAGCAAGTAATGTTAGACTTAGATCATATCATTATGAAAGAATTATTCGATTTGTGACACATAATATTTTGATCATTTTTCGATTTAGAAGGTTATATTTTCAAAAAAAAAGTGTATACAATCTGTTTTCTTTATTATTTTAAGTGAGATAAAAATATAATTTTTCTATTGATTGTTTTTTGTTTTATTGTTCTTCGATATTCTCTGATTCCAAACATTGTCGTTTAACTGAAACTAAATTTACAAAAAAAAAAAATTATTTTTAATTCATCATATGAACATTTTTTTATTACCTTGATTTTCATGATCAGTATATGAACGTTTTTGAAATGATTTCATTACTTTTGGTATATCATATTGTTCAAACCATTTATTCAATTGTCCAAATGCCATAAAACGTAAACCAATCTAAATGAACAACAAAATATTTTTCTTTTGAAATTAAATTACTGCCTTTTTTTTTACTTGAGCTTCATGAGTTATATCATTTCGTTCTTGATCATTCAACTTATCAAAAATATTGTTTATTGAATCAGTTTCCCAAGGTATCCGTAGACCTGGACCATCTACAAAAAAAAACGAAAGTTAACGCAATTCCTGTGGGATTAAAATGTAAAATACGATATAGCTCATGTTTTACAAAGTAATGAAAGTAAAATAATAAAACTAAACAAACTTGATAAAAATAAACCACCGGCAAGATATTCAAGAACACGTCGAAATGCACAAACAGCTGATACAGATTTTGATAAAGTATGTTCAATAAGAATTTCAATAGCCTATGAAATATCAATATTAAAAAAAAATTAAGGTAATTAATTCTACTTCAGATGATAATGATTGCCAATTTAATGAAGTTTTTGTTTTATAACGTAAACATCGAATTAATGCTGATGCATGTTGTCGTGTACTAATACGACTCTAAATATTTGAAAAATAAATAAAGAATCTGTTAGTTTTATTTTTACTTGAAACCATCGAACTGAATGCATTGCATACAAAGCATTTAAACAATTTGTTTTTGTTAAAAGTTCTTCTGATGTCTGACTATGTTGTTGTTGTTGAATAGATGATGATGATGATGTAAATGAAATTAAAACAGACATTTGTCCTTCAATAGTATTTGTATATACTTGAATAGTTTCGTCAGCTTTTTGACATTGAATATTAATTTGATTTTTCCATGTTTCCTATTCGATTAATTAAATTATCTTTCTTTTTTTTACTTTTTTTAAAAATTAATCTACTTACATGAAAATTATCAGGCAATATTGAAAATATTTTTTCAAATAAATTCGTTGTTGGCCATTCTTCACAAATAACCACAATATAAAATAAACGATCACTTTTTATTAATAATTTTTTTACAAGTGCACCAATACGAGATACACCTAATAATGGAGATTTAGTACTAAAATTAAAATACATAAGAAATTATTAAATTTGAAATACTTATAACATACATTGATGTTTTTGAGGTATTATCGATTGTTGATGGTTGTGAAGGACAAAGTTGATCAGAACAAGATTTAAGAGCTGTTTCAACAGCACTGACAAATTGTTCGATTGTATTGAGCTGAAGATAGAATTTCGATTAAAAGATATTATCGGATGTTTTAGGGAAGATGAACGTCTCTGTATTTTAATATATTTTTTGATTAATGTATATAACAATCATCATTTCTCAAGACATAGGATTCAGACGAACAAGTCAAGATGAATAATGTTCTTCTAATAGAATTTTTTACTAGGTTGTGTTTCTGACTGTATGTTTTAGTTCTTGCATATGTATTTATTTCAATGATATTTTTCCTAATTCAAAGAATGTACAAATTTATAACAAAGTCGAAGAGTTCAATGTATTTAAATCTGGACAAGGTTTCGTATATTGATCAATTGAAATGATCAATCTAACACCGATGATTATTTTCGAGATAAGACCAATGTCTGAAACTTCATGCTCATCAATTCTACAACAGTGCGGTCAGAACAACTTTCTCTCTTTCATCGTCAAGGATCATTAGTTATTGAATAGTTCAGATCTAAATACATTGAACTATTGAATTAGGAATGAATTTATACATTCTCTCAATCAGAAAAAAAAATTGACAAAAAGTTCTATTGGAATATTATTCATCTTGAACTGTTTGTTTGATTCGTGTCTCGGAAAATAATGAATATTATTTACATTATTAAAAAATATATCGTTTTATAGAGAATTAAAAGGTAAATCTATTGAAAAAAAAATTAAATCTGAAAAAGCGAGAGGTCCATTTTCTCTAGGACACTTGTTATTTTCGAAATGAGTTGTATTTTGTTAGATGAACTTTTTAATTATTGGAGATTCAGCTTTTTGTTCAGATTATTTCTGTTATAACTATGCGTATCCCATGTTCAAAGTATAAACTTTTATAGATATTATCTCATTCGATTTTTATAACTTAGACTGATTCTATCCTCGGGAATAACTCACGTACTCTCTGGCCAATGTTTACATATTCTCGTCTGTTTTAACTGTAAAATTTCTCCCTCTTCGGCATGTCTTTCTTTTTTACTAAAACTACATTAGAAATCAATGATAATTTCCGAAATGTACATTCAATCTTTATTTGGCTATATGATTTATTATTGACAAGATTTTGCAAAATTAAGACACGTAGATCTCAATAAAATGAACTTTCCTAGAGATAATTTTTATATATTACATGTATGTTAAATTACTCTAGAGACGTGACACAAAAAAAAAACCTTCAAATTAAGGTAAAGTTTTTAAAAACTAAACAGTACATTCTTCTAGATAACTCTTTTGACTACAAAAACTCTATCCAAAGGTTATTTTTGAGTATGCCTTCATTTTTCAAAAAAATCGATTTACTTTACGTTAGGGATGTGATGGAGTGCGAAAAAATGTTGGTATAACCGAATAAAAAGTTTAAAACCCAATTCCAAACGGTACAGATCCTTCTTCAGAATCTCTAGGAAACCGATTTTTAGAGTTCCATCTTGCTGAAAATTTCATCATAGATGCCGTAGAGTCTATTCTGATGGTTTCGGATTTTTTTCTCATATGGTTCGAGAGATATTCGCTAATAACTTTTTATTTAATCGTCAGCTGAAAGACTTAAAAGTTTCACATTATTCAGAAAAATAGCTTTTGCATAGAATCAATGTCATATGAAAGATGGTTATATCTCATTTTGCCTGAAATTGCTCATTATCGCCGGTATTTTAAAAGAAAGTGTTTCCATGCAGTAAAAATTTGAGTTTAGACTTATAAATTTTAAAAATGATGATTTTTACTTACTAAATTCTGTGTTGGTATTATTTGTTCATGTAATTTCATTAAACATTTAGTTTCATCATCAATATCTATTGGATTATTATTATTATTATTATTGTTAATCATTTGTTGATCATTCATATTTTCATTCGTATTATGTTTTGGACTTAATAATTTATTATTATTATTATTATTATCAACTTGAAAACTCGGATTGACTTTTTTCTATAAACAGAATAAAAAAAATGATTTTCTAAAGTCTACATTTTTTGTTGTTTTACTTTATAAGAAAGTCGATGACGTTTTCCTTTTAAATGTGCATCTTTTGTATTAGAATCATTAAATTTACAATCACATAATTTACAATAATAAGATCTTGGTGTATTTGTATTATCATATGATATTTCAATATATTCTAAACCTATTAAATTTATACTATTTTCATTTGATTGTTTTTCTTCATTATTTATTACTGTTTGTGATTCATTGATAGAAACTAATGGTTGATTAATATTTTGTGGAATAGTTTTACCTAATTTAAGATGTAATTTTACAGCCTAATATAATAATATTATAATTATAAATGAAAGAAAATAAAATATTATTCAATTACTTTATCATGTTTACTACCATCTAAATGTGCTTTATAAGCATCAGAACTTGTACATGTTATATCACATAAATCACAACGAAATGTATTCTGATTTGTTTGTTGATTTAAAGAATTCATTTCTTTTTTCTTATGTTTTGAACCATTTAAATGTTCTTGATATGATGCATGACCACCACATGCTATACGACATGTTTCACAATAATATATACGTGTTGAATTTGTAGCATTTTTGAGATTATTTCCTGAACGATGATTAAGATTTTGTTGAGATATATTTGATGAATGTTGATTAGCCATTAATGGTTCAGGTGGACGAGTAAAAGTAGTTAATGTTTCAGTAGTTGATTGATTTTGATGATTATATCCTGAAGAAGAATATTATTTGATGAGAGTAGAATAAATAAGATATAGAGATTTATTTTGTGGAATTCGAAATGATGAAAAAAAACAACAGAGGTCTGATATTAGCGAATCATGAAAATATGTTTTATATTTTTTTTGTTATTCATTCTATGAAATACTTCTTAAGAGTTAGCTTATAATTCACTATTAATGTAGCAATTTTCATAAACTCATATAGTGTTCGTTTAGTAGATGTTCTACAATGAATATAAACTAACATTAAAGTCGGTATTTCATCTTTCGATATTATATCGTATCAGAATGTGGAACACCTTTTCATAATGGGAAGCAATAACTTCAATGTGACTATACAATATATAGAAACACTTGCTAAACGAACATCTCTTAGATTTTTATATTTGATAAACTTAATTAAAATTCTTTAAATTCATAAACGTACCAATATATGGCTGTTGAGTCTGTATGGAAGAATACATTGGATAATTTCCATATTGAGGCATTCGTGGCTAGAACGAAGAAAATCTTAAAATTTGTTTTATAACAATAAAAAAGAAAAGTATATTCACTTGTGAAAGAGTATTAGGAAATTGTTGAGCATATAAAGATTGTTGTTGAACTGTTTGTGAATATGAAAGACTACTAAATATCAGAAAAATAAAATCAAATTTAGAACAAAAAAAATTTACGATATACTTGTACATAGGATAGTTCATTCTGTTGTTAGACATTGTTTAACAAAAAGAAAATAATTGATGCAATGAAGCACAACAAAAAAAAGAAAAACGATTTTGAAATTCTGTTTTATCCGTTTAACCAGATTTTATATTAACTATATTATCCAATCGTTTTATCTTTTGACATCGAGCACCCTCTTTTGATAATTCCATTTGAATGGAAGAAAATGTTGACGATTCCTTGTAGTAGTGCCTTGATTATATCTTCGTAATAAATACTCTTTTAAAATATAGAAACCATAGATAAGAACCTTATTTAAATTTGTAACCCTTAGATCTGAAATAATCTATGTATATTCCAAAAGTTTTATTAAGAAAATTTCTTCGCCATGAATTTGGTATTGATATTTTGTTTTTTAAGTATTAATCAAATAATTAACTTTTTTTGTATAATAGACATATTCATAAATCGTTGTTTCCAACAATCAAGAAGTTTAATCATACCTAAACATCAACATTTGCGTACATATTCATTATCAAGTAGTCTATTTACACGATCAAGTAATAATTCATATACAATACGTGGTATAGGACAGAGTTCGAAAGGTAATTAAAAACTTTATGTTTAATGTTTCAAAGAAAAATTGATAGTTCTACGCGATATGCACCGTCCCTCATGTACTTTGTCTTGTGTAGAAGAAGCACAATGTGTATCGGTAAGAACGGTGCATATTTCCTAGAAGTACCGAATTATCTTATCGATCTAAATGATACTCAAGAGAGAAAACAAATAAAAGAAAAAGAAATATGACATTTATTGACTGAATCAATCAATAGGATGAACTGATCAGTTGTGAAAATATAAAATCATTTGAATGTTTTTTAATGAAAATATTTTAAAAAGTCAATCAATCTATTATTTTGTTTTCCTCAGTTATTAACATTAGTTTAATCGGAATCTATTTTAATTAATACATAACTTCATATTGCGACTTGATTTTTTTAAATAAAAAAAAAACCTAAAGATTCTTAAATTCTTGATTATTTCATTTAACTTCAGGTGGAAATGATGGGCCAGGTAAAATAACATTTCTTTGTCCAAAATGTGGCGATGTTTGTACACATATTGAAAATCTTGTCTGTAAGTTATTATTTAATATAACATATATATGTTTTTTTTTCTATTATTCCTGTGTAGCTTCAACAAGATTTGTAAAATGTGAAAAATGTAGTCATTTTTTTGTTGTTTTATCTGAAAATGAAGGAACAAAAAAAAGTAAAGACGATAAAACTAAAAAAAGACCACCATTACCAACACCAAAAAAGGTTTTTTATAAATATTTGAATTATACCAAAAGAATAAATAAATCTCGTTCTTTTAGATTTATGAATTTCTTAATAAATATATTGTTGGTCAAGATTATGCAAAAAAAGTTATGTCAGTTGCGGTTTATAATCATTATAAACGTTTATATAATAATATACCATCGACGAATACTACGAAATCTCAACAAAATGCATCTGAAACAACGAGTGGTCTTAGTACAAATTTATCCAATTTACAACAACGTAATTGAAAAAAAAAGAACATTATATATATAGCGTCTGGAAAGTTACTTGTTACAAAAAAAATTTATATATCTCTAATGTAGTTAAGCCAAATCAAATGGCTTTTTGTGAGGTTATAGAAAAGCCTTCCAAGAGTTAAAGTTCATAAATACCGTTGAGAATTTGAATTTTTGGACAGGAATGCCTCGATAGGTAGTCAACATGAGGGGTTTAAAGATTTTTTTTCTAACGAGCGAACGTTTTCAAGTGATTAATCACTTTTGAACTCGGACTCTATGCATAAGGTAGACTTTAATGAGATTATGAAAAACCTCAACTTAGGTCTTTTGCCTAGAGTTCTAGACAAATTAAATGGCGGTATTTCGACCTGAGATTGTTCCCACAGACAGATCAAAATATCGTCATTCAATTTTTTCGTATATACCATACTAGAGGTTAAAATTCTAGTAAAATGCCTATAACTCTGAACAGAAAGTCTAAGGAGACTTATCTTTTTGAGATTTTTCATATCTCACTAAATTCTACCTTATGCACAAAGTTCAATTTCAAAAGCGATTGAACAGTTAAAAACGTTCTCTAGCAATTCTTTATCAGGATTATTGATTTTTGAATCAATTCTTATTCCATGAATATATATGTAAAAATATTGATTCTTTCAGCTCGCACCTAATTAAACTTAAATAGTTAAGTGATTGAAATGTAATTATCAAATATGCTATAAATTATGTCTACAGTGAAATTTTCATCAAAAATGAACTTTAAAAAATTGCCTTCCCTCAAACCGGTTTTACAGTGATCATCATTCAATTACTAGAGGATTTTTAGTCTTTATATTTGTACACATTCATGTTGTTCAAGTAAAACTTTCTGTAGTGTAAAGAATCTTCTGTAAAACGTACTATTTATTTTTTAAATAATAGTGTTTGAACTTGCAGAGTTTGTAACTGAGTATGCATAGAATGCAAATCTTCATCCTTTTTTTAATGTTACATCGATAACGCTAGTTTTTCAATAATAGTTCTGCACAATAAACATCTATAGGACTAATGTTTTTTTAGAGATATTTAGAGTAATCCAACATAAATGTGTTGCATAAAAATTAGCTAAAAGAAACTTTAGAATTCAGAGATTTACTCATATTTATATATTTTTTTCTATTATGATTTTTCAGGTTTTATTTTTCATATTGGTGTACCATTTTATACTGTACCATTTGATGGTGCAAATAATAATTCTTCATTTAATTCAAATAATACTGAAGAATCAAAACATGGAAGTCACGTTATGAATAATGATAAATATGATATTCAACTTGAAAAAAGTAATATTCTTATGCTTGGTCCAACTGGTTCAGGTAAATACAAAAGAAATAGAAAAATTTCAATTTATTTTCCTTCTAGGTAAAACACTACTTGCACAAACAATTGCAAAATGTCTTGATGTACCATTTGCTATTTGTGATTGTACAACACTTACACAAGCGGGTAAAACAAAAAGAAAAGGATAAATGGATGGATAGAAGAGAAATTTTTTTATTTTTTTTTTGTTAATAGGTTACGTTGGAGAAGATGTCGAATCTGTTATTTCTAAATTACTTCAAGATGCTAATTATAATGTTGAACGATGTCAACAAGGTTTGAAAAGATTTACATTATAAACTTATCATATCAAAATGAAATGTTTTAATCGAACTATGACTTTAGCAAATTTTGAATTATAAGTGACAATTAAATGGTTGACAGATGAGTTTGTTAGCGTCCAAACTGATATTATGTTTAATCTTGGATCCCACATTTGCCTAGATCTATTGGCAGGGCAGCATCAGAATTCTAGGGATAGCAATAAATCACATCATATGTTTAAGAAAAATGAAAAGTATATTTTCTAGTAAATATTTGCTATAATTCAGCGTTCCTTGGTATTCGTATAATGCTTTGGCTTTTGCTAGACTATTGATAAACTTCTTTTAAGGTGTAGTAATTACCATCGATTGCTCTCTGATGGCTCGTCTATGCCTAGGTCAATCCAAGACTAGATGTAATCTCAGTTATTGATGTTACCGGCACGTTCTATTAAATAAAATATACCTTACAAAAATCTATTGAACCTTGCGTATGTACGTGAAGGGTAATCATTTATTTAAATAATGAATATCTTAGAAGTCAAGTGATGATAAGTATGATTACTTCATTTATCTTTCGATAATATCGGACATATTTCAACTGAAGTCAAACAAGGCTAAAATATTTCGGCTGATCAAAGTGATATTTTAGTCTATTTCGAACGAATAGATGTTATTATAGACTGAGTTATATTTTCGAAGAATTTTAAAAGTAAATGATTGAAATAACTTCAAAGTACATTACAATAAACAGAATAATAAATGGAAGAGAGAAAAAAAAAACATGAAAAAATTTTTAATCTATTTTTTTCTTCTAGGTATTGTATTTTTGGATGAAGTTGATAAAATTGGTAGTGTACCAGGTATTCATCAACTTCGTGATGTTGGTGGTGAAGGTGTACAACAAGTATATATCAATTATTCTTTATTATGGAAGTTTAAAATTTATCTTTACTTTTTTTTTTAGGCTTTATTAAAAATGCTTGAAGGTACTGTAGTTAATGTTCCGGAAAAAAATTCAAAAAAAATACGCAGTGAAACAGTACAAGTTGATACAACAAATATATTATTTGTTGCATCAGGTGCATATACAGGTTTAGATAAAATAATAAGTCGACGTAAAAAAGAAAAATATATTGGTTTTGGTACAACATCAAATGAAGCACCATCACGTCGTCGTGCAACACAATTAGATTTATTTGAACAAAGTGATGATAATGATGCAAAAATTGAAGAAGAAAATTTAGAACGTGATAAATATTTACAAGAATGTGAATCTCGAGATTTAATTGAATTTGGAATGATTCCAGAATTTGTCGGAAGGTAATAAAAAAAAACACCAAACAAACAAAAGAATGAATATTTATTTATTTATTTATTTATTTATTTACATAGATTACCAATAATAGTTCCATTTCATAGTTTAAATGGAGATATGCTTGTACGAATATTAACTGAACCTCGTAATGCTTATATACCACAATATCAAGCTTTGTTTAAAATGGATAAGGTAACTAGCTTTTTTCAAACATGAAATACAATGAAAGGAAGAATATCCCTGTCTTGCTGCATGAGGGAGCTTCCTAGTGGCAGATTCAGTAACCCAATATCTTCTCTACAATTAATACTAGCTGTAACTCTGAAAAGTAGGCTAGCATGACGTAGAGATCTTGAGCTTTCTATACATACTAACTCACCACAAGAGCACGTGTATGCCACATCGCAGTTAGCATGCTATCGGACGGTTGATCCAAGACAAACAGCCGTTAGTGATTTGTCCATGACTGATGATACCTATCGAACAACGTAGCCACTCTGTCGTGGTGATTGAAATACAATGTGTGTTTAAATTTTCAATAGAGAAATTTTATAATACTAATAACGATCGATAGAATCTCTCGTTATCTTTTGAACTATCAAATCTTGTTTTTTTTTATTGCTATGCCTTTTATTTAATAGTCTATATCATAGTAATATTCAAAGCATAGATAGAATTAGTACCAACAGTTTTATTGCGTTTTACTGCCTTCGTAAAAAATTCAACGGTTTTTAGTTAGGAAAAAGTTGAATAAACAGAATTGCATATCTATTTGGTCAAATTATATGGAATGCTGGTGATTTTCAGTAAATTTTCTAATATTTTATCAAAATTTTCTCTTCAATAGTATCAGACGAAAACGATGACATCCGAAGTTCTTCTCTTTCAATTGCTAAAAATTTACAGATCGCTAGTTGTACCCATCGTCGAGTTATCAAGATTACACCTAACCCTACTTTAATTCAGGTGCGGGGACATTAGTAATAGAATGTTCCTTCACTGTCATATGTCTATTAACAAAGCGAAACTTCTTGCATATATCGATTTGTTTATATTTCTAAAAAAATATTTTTAGGTTCAATTAGATTTTACCGATGGTGCTCTCCGTTCCATAGCTAAAAAAGCTTTACGTCGAAAAACTGGTGCTCGTGGTCTTCGATCAATACTAGTACATTATTTAATTCAATAAATTTTTTTCTATTTAATTAATCGTGTTTCTTTATTTTTAGGAACGTATTTTACTCGAACCAATGTTTGATATTCCCGAATCTGATATTGTTGGTGTTCGAGTTGATGAAGAAGCTATTAAAACAAGTAAATGTCCTGAATATATTCGTTCACGTTCAACAACATCTACTGATGATCTTCATGAAAATTCATCAACATCAAATGAAAATAAAAATACAGATGATAAGGATAATAAAATTTCCGTGCCAACCGGTTAGCAAAAAAAAATATATATATATATTATTAAGCAGTATATTTCCTTTTTCATACACATTTCTGTTTATGTATTTGACCGAAAGCAACTTATTCTATCTTGTTGTTATTTGTGATTTTTTTTTAAGTGAAGCAAAAAAAAAACAAACCTTGCTTGTAAATAAACGTTGATCAAATATATATATATATAAATATGTTTATATATAAAGCATACATTAAAAAAATGATATCGAAGATCATACAAATACACTATTGACATTAGTATAAAAACAATTATCTAAATAATGAAAAATTCTATTTGATTGTCAAGTTTGATTCATATCAATGAACTTTTGTTTCTCAGCAAAGAATATTAAAAGAATGATCTTTGTAATCAATTTTTCTGAAACAAATTTCGATTTACATTTTCAAAAATCTGAAATAAGAAAATGTGTGTTCAAAAAAAGTGTGATATAAACTTTCTAAACTTATATATTTCACATATATGATAATGGATTTATATAGAAAAATAACATCTTATGATTTATAGGGTTCTTTCACAAAGGATCATTGTTAAGGAACTATTTCAGCATCTATAAGTAAGTATGCTTCTTTTTCTAGTCATTTCAACATTATTACTAGTGAATATTCAATTTGTAAATCAATGACGAGGATATATAACCTGAATTTGAAATCGAAGGATTATAGAATTCGATCGTTTTTCTTGTACGAAGAAGTCATCAAACAAGATTTAAATGAATGAATCGAAAGATATAACTAAATAATTCCATTTAACAAACTTATTTGTTTATTATTGATATATTGTACTTTGTTACACGAATATAAAGATATGCACTTTATAGTTGGTTCATTTTCTTTGTTCATCATTTGTTAAAATGATATATGATTACCTCGATATGCATAAGTTAACAAAAGAATCATAGTCAAATATATCAACAAACATTTTGTTTTCTTTTTCTTTATACATTATCTATACATATCCATTTAATAGCTAGATTTTCTTTTTTCTATAATCGAGGTATTACATAGTTCTTTGTCTTTATCTATCTATGTATACATATATATATATATATTATCATCTATGAACATGATAAAGAAAGGCAGTCGAGGTAAATTAGATGCAATCGAGAAAAATCTAGTCAGAGAGAGAGAGAAAGTGATATTATCGTTACCGATCGAAAATAGAGAAGCTGTGTTATTGTTGTTATTCGACTTCACTTTGCACACAAACACGATCAATATCGGACGCAAATACGCATTAAATAGATAGAAGAGCATAACGAAACGAGGAACGGTTTACTATCATCATTTTTATGCGTAGTATCGACATTGCAGTCGAATTTCCATTAAATCCTAAGATGAAACAAGTATGTAAACGAATATATTTTTTATTCTATATAAAAGATATAATATCTTATTTTGTATAATAGGTTCATTTGAAACTCTTATTGTGTCTGTTATTGGCAATTAGTGCCACTGGTCAATATAACCCTGGTAAGAAATTTATTAGTTATTATACGTAAATGTAAATTAATATTTTATTGGTTTGCTTATTTTTTCTTAGCTGCTTTCGTAGGTCATCGTCTTGCAGGACAAACAGGTTTTGGCAGTTATAATCTTTTTCCAGGCGCTAATTCATATGGAAATTTTGGTCAACAATCAAACGCTCGCATGTTCAATTTAGGTAATATGGCTAGTGTTCCAGCTGCTAATAATTTGGGACAATATTCTCAACAACCTGCTCAAACTACTGTCAATCGACAACCGATGGCAGGTGAATTTGTTTCCAATGTTCAAGTTCCGCCACGAGATCAATCTTATGGTGATGGTAGCAATAGTCGTTTATCAAACGGTAACAGTAATAAATATAACAGACATTATGTTGAACCAACTGGTCAACCATATGGTATTCAATCAACAGGTGAAATTTTAAATTATCAACCAGAAAAACTCGATCTTTCCAAATGTGGACCAAGTAAGATTAGTTGAATAAAACAAAAAAAAATGAACATTATGATGAATTTTTCTTTTTATCTTTCTAGTGCCAACAACAAATCCATGTACACTCTTGGGTCCACAATATCATCCATTACCTGGTCATCCACATTGTTATATTCATTGTGCATTTGGACGTTTATTTGTCAAACCATGTTCACCTTATCTTGTATGGAATGCACGTATTAATAATTGTGATTGGCCAACAATTGCTTCTCCAATGAGTAATAATGATTATGGTACAACATCGTATAGTAACAGTGGAAGTAAGAGTGGTTCATCATCATATGAAACTACTAACAAAAATTATGCAATGTCATCAATTTATCCATATGGACGAAAGAAACGTTCAACAATTGAACGTAAGAAACGTAACTTTGGAACATATTATCAAGGTTTAATGATGCCATCTACTCCTCAACAATATTCAGGTTACAATGTAGTACCTTTTCCATATCAACCTGGTCCACCTCGTAAATGCTCCTATTTTTTAAGTCATCTATGAACAATTGTTCATTGTTTTTATTTTAGGTTTACCTATGACACCTTTTAGTTTACCAGGTCCAGTTAGTTTTCCTGGTCAAGTCGGATTAGCAAGTATTCCATCTCAATTCGTACCTTCACAATCACCGTAAGTTATATCGATTTTTATCAATTTTAGAATAAAATATTTGTCAATTTTTTAGTACACCAACATTTGTTTCATTTTCTGTTCCGGCAGCATCAGCACCTGTACCAGTTGCTCCAGTAACACCAGCACCTGTACCAGTTACTCCAGCACCTGTACCAGTCGCTCCAGTACTTGCACCAAATATTCAACCTCGTGGTTTTCCAACATTCGGTGGTTCATATTTCGATTTCTTTAACCCTCAAGCTAGATCTAATCCAGCAGTAGTTCCTGCAACTCCACCAGTAGCTCCTACAGCTCCGTCAGCAGTCACTACTGCATCATTTTTTCCAGTCGTTCCATCATCAGTTTTTTCGTATGTTTGATTGATGTTGTAATTTGAATAGATAAATTTTAACATAAAATATTTCTAGATCTCCAATGTTTCAACAGCAAAGCATGACACCTTCTACTTCTTATGCTGCACCCACTCCTGTTTCTTTAACGGCTACATTAAGTATGTTTTCTTTCATGTATTTAATTTCATTTTTCATTTATTTCGTTTATTTTTTGTTTTAGTTCCTGGTCCATTTTATCCATACGGTCCTCCATTTGGTGGACCATTTGGTCGTCGAGCTCCTCCACCTGCTCAACCTTCAGCTAGTCAACTTTCCTCACCTTTTGGATCTCCCGCTGCTCAGCTTATGGCACGTTTTGGACTTTTTGGTGGTCAAGGTCTTTCACCTTTTATGTCTTTCGGTGGTCAACCTATGTCACCTCCTATGTCTTTTGGTGCTCATCCTCTCTCAAGCTTTAGATCTTTCGGTGGTCAACAACTTCCAACTGCTATGTCTTTTGGTGGTCAACAACTTCCAACTGCTATGCCTTTTGGTGGTCAACAATTTTCACCTTTTATGTCTTTCGGTGGTCAACAACTTCCACCTTTTATGCCTTTCGGTGGTCAACGTCCTTCACCTTTGAGACCTTTTGGTGGTCCATTGCGTGGTAGACCATTTGGTCCATATCCACCTGACAATGAACCTCTTGGCTTAGATTTCGAGTAAGATTCTTGCTAAAATGTTCTCTCTTCTTTCGAATGTATCTACATGATTTTAATTGTAACGAAAGAAGCGAAAAAAAAAACATTGTTTAACCTGATATAATTTCTTCATTCATTTTCTTTTTTTATTTATTTATAGTCTTCATGTATTTCCAGCTGATGATGAGTCCGATGAAGATCAGAACGATGATTCTTCGTAAGTATTATTGTATTATTTATTAATTATTATATTTGTAATAACTTTTTTTTTCTTTATTCTTGTTAGCAGTAAAGGTGATGGTAAAAGTGTAAATGATAGCAAAACATCCGACAAAGCCAATAGTGGAAAATCACCTACGTAAGTTATTTTATTTGCAAATATTTTATTTCTTTGATATATTTTTTAGCACCGATGCTGATTTTGATGCTTTAAAAAAATCAGATTATAAGAGGTTAGTAAATAATCATTTTTGAATACAAATAGTTCTAAGTTTTTTCTTTTTTTTTTTTTTTTATATAGAAATGGTAATTTCAAAGGCTATGGAGGTAAAAATAGAGATGATGACTATGATGCTGATGATGATCCATATGGTTATGATGATGGTTATCCAAGTGTTCGCTATCGTTATAAGCGTCAATATGGTTCCTATGGTACACCAGTTAGACAAATGCCAACAGTTCCTGTAGGTGAACGACAACAATCACGTTTAAATTCAAATGAATTAACTCGTCGACCATCATTTCAATGTATGATATATATATATATATTTGTTTTCTTCTTATTTTCTTATATAATTATTTATTTTTTATTTAGCATCACCATGTATTGGTAAATCACCACGTAGTAATATTGCACATCCAACAGATCCAGAAAAATATATTGCATGTTTAACTAAATTACGTTATGAAATTATGGATTGTCCAAATGGTCTTATTTATAATCCAACAATTGATCAATGTGAAACAAGAAAAAATCTTGAATCAATTTGTGAACGTGAACGACCATGTATGAATAATGGTCAATGTTATCAAACAAGTTCAACAACATATAAATGTACTTGTCGTGGTGCTTGGACAGGTGAACGATGTGAAACACCACTATCAACTTGTGCGACTAATCCATGTGGTCCAGGTAATGAATGTCAAACATTAAAAACAGGTGAATACAAACAAGATTATGTTTGTGTATGTAATGAAGGCCAATCGTATGGTTTAAGTTGTGGACGAAGTATGTTAATTGAATTTTTCTTTTTTTTTTTTTTTTGGAAAAAAATTTATTTAATTTTTATTCTAGATACTGTACCAAATCCATGTTTATCTCCATCAACTGAACAAGAACAATATTATCCATTTACATTTAGTCCTCAAGCTTTTATTCAATGTAATGGTGATATACTTTATGTTCTACCATGTGCAAGTGGTTTATATTGGAATCAAGAACAAAAAGTTTGTGATCGAATTGAAATGTTATCAACAATGCAAAGTGAAAATCAACCACAATCATATGAAATGATGTATGGTACTAATGAACAACGATCAGCATATACTCGTCCAATGCCTAATGTAGTTGATCAAGCTTTTATTAAACAACAATCTTATCAACAACGATTAGAACAAATGAAACAACCACAAATGATGACTAATGAGCAAAGGTACAACAACAAAAAAAATTCATATAATTTTTTTTCTATATGAAAATTTCTTTCAATTTATTTTAGTTCAACATCAATAAATAAAGTTGTTCCAGTTCCACAACAATCAACTTTTAATCAATTTCAAATGTTTTCTCATCATTCGAAACAAAAACCATCAATGTCACCAAATAATTATATGATGTCTCAAGAACAACCAATTCTCACTAGTCGATCATCATTGCCAATACCAGTTATGCAATCGGAAATTGTTCGTACTTATTTACCAAAACCACAATATGATCAAACGTATAATGAACCACCACGACCACCACTATCTTTTATTCATCAACAACCAGCACGACCTAACACTCGTCTAGTCAAACCAGAATTACCTAGAAATTCCAATATGCAATAAACATCATCAGGATATTGTCAACAGAAATTATTTATATTTCATGGTTGATTTTTTTTTCTATTGATATGTTTGTGTGTGATTTTGTATCCGCTTATTTCGTTTTTTTTTTATAACTTGATCCATGTCCGTTTTCTTCTCTGTTCTCTTATTCGTTTATTTTATTTTTATGTTTGATTATTCAGTAAATATCTGGTGCTATTGAACGTTTTACTATGAAACGAATAAAATGCATCAATTTTTATTATGTTATTCAAGCATTGGAATATTGTAAAATAGAGACTAATATAGAAACAAAAAAAAAAAAATGATCATTGAACATGAAGTCTATATTAAGACTAGATGGTATTAAAATGTAGTGAAATCATTGTTCATCGATCGATTAATTATCTAAATGATTCATCATCTACCATCAGTTAAGGAAGTAGTACCTATCTTTTCTTCTTCGAATTATCTCGAAATGAATAAAGCTCTAACGAGGGAACACTCCCAGATAAAGCTCCGCTTTTAATGTGATGTTTTTCCCATATGTAGGCTTTAGTAAGACTAGAAAAACTCCAAAAAGGATTTGAGTTTCTATGACTTCCTTGTTGAGATATGAAGTTCACATCTTCTTTAACAGTGCTATGACTTATATTGGAATACAATGAAATCTCAATTTTTTCATAATGATATGAAATTCAGGCTTATAGTTTTTTTTTGCGTGAACTGCATTTCACAGTGACCATATGTGACACACTTGTTTAGCTCTGACAAAGACTCCTAACCACACATATCAAGCTTCCTTGCCTGATAGTAGCTTGAATGAAATATCGTTGTGAAAAAATCGACATTACATCGCATTCCAATATAAGTCATAGCACTGTTAAAGAAGATGTGAACTTCATATCTCAACAAGGAAGTCATAGAAATCCAAATCTTTTTGGAGTTTTTCTAGTCTTACTAAAGCCTACATATGGGAAAAATATCACATCAAAACCGGAGCTTTATCTGGGGATGTTCCCTCGTTAGTTTTGTTAGTTATAATGTATTTGTTTCAAACCAAAAAGCTATGAATTTTTTTGACTATATTAAACAAAATAATCAAAGAATAACCTGTCATATTTACAGTTTCATTATATAACCAATCCATCAAATGTTCTTTTCAATCCTCGTAAGACATATATTAAAAATTCTTGTTCTTATTCTCAGTTTTTCGATTCTACGTAACATCATCGCTACTTCCAAATACTATAATCATAGCTTAAGTTTAACTTCTTCGTTAGAGTTGAACTCCTATCAGTTTTTCATCGAATATCAATATTCTCTTGAAGTTGCTTTTTTATTGAAATGTCTGAAACAATTTGAATTAATCTTAAGTTTCATTTTCCATCTTCCAAGTTATATTCATGAGACATCTCCTTTTGAATCTGAATTAAAATCATTTAACCGTTGATTCGTTAAGAATTGTGTCCCAGCAAAATATATTTCTAGTTCAACAATTTTCAAAGTAGAACTGTTACTTAGAATTGATTTTAAGGAAATATTTTCCATTTTTTTATTGACCTCTACTTCAGCGGTACTCGGCTAGATCACATCAGTTAACAACAATTCTTCAGATCAACGTCAAGTTGTTCGTCGGTATCCCTCTGGGACGCCACTCACGGCTAGCCATTTCAAATTCAAGCCTATTTCGCTAACCTCTAGTTCATTTTGGAAATTGATATGTGTATTTTTACATAAAGGCTTTTCCATGACACACTCAAAAACAAAAACTATGTTGCAAATATTTACGAATGAACAAGATTTCACCATTACATCTAGAATGTCATAGTGCACACCAAATTGTTTTCTTGATTAAATTATATGAAAATCTGATAATAAGAATTTCGTTACTCAGCCTTCTTTTCTACAAAATCTTGATTCAACTTCCATAGAAATCTACCGTGTACTTTGTATCCTGTATCTCTATTCAGTATATATGTAACAGGGAATATATAGTAAATTAAAAGAAGAACCTATAAACGATTCGATTCTTACATTTTAAATTCTCATCTGAATACTCTCTCCTACTTATAACAATATGTCTTCACATATCGTTTCACCTCTACTTACCTTGTGATCGCTACGCTGCACTATTTTATATTGTCCGTCTTTCCTATATAAGTAATACTCTCGGTATAAGCGGGACGATCAATTGCACGAAGAACCCAAATAAAGCGAACATAACGGTCTTATAGACATTTCTCACATCTAATTCGTCACACTACTGTCGATCAAGTTTCTCATTACCAATTAATATCTATACGTAAACAAAGAAACAATTTAACAAGTAAAGAGCAATGCAAAGTTTGTTTAGTACTATCAATCCACAGCTCTCAGCAACTTCGACACACGTTCTCTCATTGACCTTTCCAACGTATCAGACGCAGAAAAATAGCTAGTAGTAAATTTATAGTCACTGTAAAAAAATTACGTTTAAGGAATTTTTTTTCTCGAAAAAATCTCTTTGTTCATTTTTTCAGTAAAAAATTATTTATATCATAAAAACTGTTGATAGATTTTACTTCAGCGTAAAAAACCACCGCTAGTTGAGTTTCTCATGAAATCTAGAATGTTACTGCTATTGACTTAGGTATTGCTGCTTTTTAATTTACTTGGACGAACGGATAGACAAATATTCAAGCTTTTATCAGTGACATTTATCGCTATATAGCCCTTTGTTTGAAAAAAGGGAATAATCATTTTTCTGTTTCTTTTTAAACAGGTTCTAGCTATGGTAATTCATACATGTAATACTTGAAACTTGAATTTAAGTATTCAACTATTCAAGTATTCAATTATTGAATAATTGAAACTTCAACTATTCAACTATTCAACTATTCAAGTATTCAATTATTGAATAATTGAAGTTTCAACTATTCAAGTATTCATTTATTGAATAATTGAAATTTCAACTATTCAACTATTCAACTATTAAAATTTTAACTTCTCAAGTGTTTTGCAGATATTCAGTGGGAAAGCGCGTTTCCCCGCCTAACACACCTTTTATTTCAGCGTCGCGACCCATGCACGTCTCTGTGTACACCATTTATTCCTACTCAGTGCTACATAGTAGCTCAGGCTTCTCATACACTTCTTGTAGCATTCCAGATAATGTCTGAAGCATCTCAACCAAAACCTGTAGCATCCTAGAGGATGCTTGTAGCATCATAGGTGATACCTGTAGCATTATCGGTGATGCCTATAGCATCCTATGGAATGCTTGCAGCATCATAGGTGATGCTTGTGGCATTCTAGGGGATGCCTGAGGCATCCCAGACAATTCCTGTCGATGTTAGATGATTCTGGTGGTATTCCAGACGTTGAATACTTGAATAGTTGAACTGATAGGTGAATACTTGAATTCAACTTTCAAGTTTGACACTACTGTTGTCTATAAGAATTTATATATCGTATTACATTCAGACGTTAATTGTGTGTGTGTGTTATAAAATGAAAAGTAAAGATCTACAAAAAGTAAATTCTTTGTCAATACAAAACTGATGATGGTCTGAGCAAGATCTTTCGTGATTTGAATAGTTGTTTGGAATTTAATACTATAAAAAGTAAAATGATTCAAAAAGTCAAGCATAGATTGAAACAGAAAAATAGATGGCGTCAATTCGAACAAAATATAGCTAAAGAATATACTATGTGCAGAATAAGTGCTCATCGAATACTTAAAGAAGATCTGACACTTTACGCCTATAACAAGACAATCGAATCATGACTCAACGATGAACCTAACTACAAAAAAAAGAAAATTTTCGAAAAGAGGACACGATGTAGATTTTGTTTTTTTTTTCAGAGGAGGAAATGTTCGACATCGATGGCATAGATAATTCACAAAATGAATGGATCTTGACCGGCAATCACAATGAAGCAAATGAAAGGGGCGGAATTCACACAAGAAAAAAACGATAATATTCTCACAATGCTATGATGTGGTTAAATGCCTGTTCCAAAGGGATAACACCGGTAATTATTTGTGGCCAAGGAATATTAGGTTATGCAAGCAAGACGATGCGAAACTTTATATTCAATATTTAACACAATAATGGTGTCAGAACAATTTTTCCTGTTTCAGCGAATAGTCCAGAATTAAATTCATGGGACTATTGCATTTGAGACGAATTCGTTTTACAAAGTTGTACATCCTAGACTATTCGTTTGAAGCATGTCTTAGAAAATTATGGAGATTGTTTAAATTAATAGAAAACGTTATCATTTTGTAAAGAATTTAAAGACGAACCTTTATAAAAAAAAAAAATAAACATTAAAAGAAATGTCATTAATATATCAAGAGGCTCATTTTTCTTGGAATATCCGATATTCAAAAAAACAAAAAAAGTTTGTAATATTTTATCTTTCTAGTATTTATCTATCTATTGAATGAACTGTTATTTAACAAAAAAAAAAAAAGAAAAAATCTTTTTTTTTACAAAGGTTTTTTTTTATACTGGGCAAATATGAACAGAGAGAAGATGTGGAGTCGAAAAATGAGATTTTTATCTCTAGACGTCCTTCAGAATGACTTCAATGTATTTTGATGCAATTCATATATGCATCATGGTTTTTTTCGACTCATACAAACACTTTCATGGTTAGCCTTCGACACATTAATTGTATTTACATATATATCATGTTACACGAACATCACTAGATAACATCATGAGTTGATTTATGGCTCACAAAAATACTTCAAATCAAATAGAAAATTGATATCTCAACATGAAAATAAGATTACACAGCTGAAATCATCTTGACAATCTAAAACATCAAATATTCAAAATAGTACATAAAATCAACCAAACACAATAACTGTATATCTATAATGCAGTATGAATGATCATATTTGTTCCTCTCCATGCGTATATCTAGTTGATTTCATGTACATTAATTTTATGAGTTAAATGTGAATAAAAAATGCATATAAAAAACGAAAGAGAAAGCACACAAGGATTCTAACGACGAGTAATTAGTAATTATCATCGATCTGATTCGTTTCTTTTTTTTTTTTGGTACCCAATGTTCTACTCGAATAAACATGCACGGACAGATGACATATGTATAATACATAACTAGCAAAAAATAAACAGTAGAAAGCTTGGATACGATATATACTTTTAAAAAAAAAGTAATACTCTATTTCATTTGATTTTTCGTAGACTTCCATACAATTCAGTTAGGATAACATGCTTAGTCTACGACGTCCTTTTGATAGAGATCAACCAATTGATAATCTTCGAATTGTAATAACACGACATGGTGGACGTGCTGATTTAGCATTAGGAAACCATTGGTTAAGAAGAATACAAAGAAATGGTGGTCATGATTCACGAATATCACGTTTACCACGTCGATCAAGTTTTCGTGAATGGAATTATGATCCACCATTAACTATTGCTGGAGAAAAACAAAGTGGATCTGTTGGTCGAAAATTACTTCAACTTGGTTATTCAATTGATTATTGCTATTCGTCACCTGCATATCGATCAATACAAACAGCAAATAAAATCCTTGAAAGTCAAGGACGAAGAGCTGTATCAATCAATATCGAACCTGGTATAAAAAATAAATAATTTATTTATGATAAACTTTTCATCTCTTTTTTTTTTCGTAAGGTCTATTTGAATGTCCATCTTGGTATTCTGGTTCACCATTGGTATTTATACCTCCTACATATTTAGCTAGGGATAGAAAATTTCATATAGATTCCAATTATGTACCAATCTATGGTAGTGTTGATCCAAGTGAAAATGAGAAACAATTCTATCGACGATCTCATAATGTTATTGATACAATAGTTCAAGCTCATAAGAATCAAGGTGGAACAATTTTATTATCAGCACATGCTGGTTCAATTGAAGCAATAACACGTGGTTTACGTGGTATATTTGGTCGACGTGCACAGACTGAAAATCTTGTGTATGAAGCTTCAAGAGTTAATTATTGTAATTTTGCTATAGTTGAACGTGATGCACGTACAGGTCGATGGACTTTTCAATTACCTGAATCATATAGTGGAGCAGGATTACCAATGCGCAATATCATTCCACTTCATAGTATTAGTACATACCATAGAGGTTCACATAGAAAAGGACGATCACCACAAAGAAGAAGATTATCGAGAGTAGCACATCATCGACATCACTATCATTAATAATTATATACTGACATGGTTTGATTTTATATCTTTTTTTTTTATAATGGATTTTCTTTTAAAAAAACAAAACACACGTACACACACACACACATACATTGATTTATATATTAAGGAAAAAATGATATAGATATATTATGAACGATGATGTTTATTCTGTTATAAATATAACTGACTTGAGTGAATGTTTTTTGTTCAATTTTTGATAAAAAGAAAAATCCGCATACAAAGAAAACAACATTGATTGACTGTTCTAAACAGTATAGTTTTTCTTTTTATTTCTATGTCACATTTTCGTATCTTCAATATCTTGATCACTATTGTGTGCTAATTCATAACGATTTCTATCATTATGAATATGAGCATGATTAGCCCCCTGAGCAATCATTAAGAATATCTACAAAGAAAAAAAAAAAGAAGATATGATTTATAATATATATTATTAGTATCATACCAAACTTAAGATAACCAATATTGATGAAACTGTTGTGACAATACTTAAACTGAAGTAATCACGATAAGACTAAAAGAAAAGAATAAGAGATGACATATTGATAATCATACTTTCAGCACGATAAATATGTTCACTCTGTTGATTGATATACGGAAACAAATTACATAGTTCGAATCTCCAAAAAAATGAACCTTGTGATCATTCTGTCTTGTACTATGTCGTAACTTCTCAAGAGTTAGTATTTACCCTACCGAGAAAAATAAGTGTACAAATTGCAGCTGCTCTCGACATTTAGAGAAAATTATCTCTTAATCTTCTTACATGAAATCAAAGAATTATTTCAGTTAATGAATGTCTCATTCTGTTTTGATTGATGTGAATATAGTAGAAACTAATTGTAGTAATTTATCTCAATTTCACACATTTCTATCCATAAAAACAATCAGCTCCTAATCATTAACGTCTATGATCCTATTTTCAAATATTCAATTATTTTTCTATTCAAAAAAAAAACACCGATTAAGACTTTTTTCTCATATCAGTTAAATAACATCAAATTTTAATAATACATACCGGTTGACAAATATCCGAAAGTTTAAAATGTGCTGGTTTTTCATCTAATCGATGTGCATGTTGATTGATTTCATTAAGAACTAAATATATATATAAATAAAACTAACACAAAAAGAAAAACAAACAAATTTAAGCATTTAATTACATACTGTTTACAAAACTACCTCCAGCTGTACCATAACGATTATTACATACAACAAAATAGATATAAAGAAAACCATAGAGTGGAATAAATGTAAGACAAGTAATACCAAACCATGAAATTGTTAAAAAAAATGTTATAAGTAAAAACTAAATATAAAAAATAAATAAATAAATATTCATATAAAATTCTTTCTTTTTTTTTTTAAACTTACAAAACCATTTAATATTCTTGCACATATATTTTTTTTATAACCCCAAAAATGTTTTTGACTCGATTTTCCAGTAATTACACTTGCTAAAAAAACCGAACATAAACCAAAAAGAAATGTTATTACAACACCACAACCAATAACAAGTCGACTAAGTTGTAAACTTAATAATTAAAACACAATAAATATATGTATATATATATTTTTTTCTTTCTTTATTAACTTACCATTGATTACATGACCATTTTTCACTATGTTGAATTTTATATAATGTATAGATAGTCGACATTAAAAAAAGAACACATCCAATCATTAAAAGAAAAAATGAAATTAGAGATGGATATGGAGTTTTATAAAGCATAATAAAGAATTTATTTTGTCTAAAACTATTAAAGAAAAAAAAACAAAAAAAGAGTATGATAATATTTATTTGTTTATTTTGTATTTAACATAGTTAGTGTCGTGATACTAATCATAACTAAAAGGATAATGAAACACTCTCTGCTTCTAATTACGCAATACAAAATGATAATGACGATGACGGTTGAACGTTACTGAAGAGAGAACAAACGAGAGAAAGATTATTCTACGATTGATAGACACTCACATGCCTTATACGTAATCAGTGTACCGTTATAGACATTACGCAAAGAAAAACAGAAAAATTTCTTCTAACTTTCTAAATCAATCTTTTCATCTATTGCTCAATTTTTTTGTTCCTTCTTCTTTATTATTGCATGCGTTTCAAATAAATTCAATAGTTCTCTACAGGGAATCATCATATTCACGGCAGGAATGATGATTCTAGTGCATAGTAAATAACAAGGCATAGATCCATATCGATTGTGACGTAATATTCTTTTCTTTTCCTATCCATTTTCTTCATCAACTGAAACAGTTGAACACATGTGACAATAATTTGTATGAAATATAATCAACTGATTTGTATTCATAGACTTAGAAAACAACAAATGAAACACACTATCTATAATATTAGAATGCTTATCTAGATAGAAATGAATGAACAAATATAAAACAGTAACTATGATTGATTCAATCAATATAGCAAAAAAACAACGACGTCTACGAAGATAATTAGGAAAAAAAAGACATATATATAAAAGCGAGCAAGCAAACAAATATGCGATTTGCATAAATTAATAACGGATTAGCACGATAACGACCAAGGACAGAAATAGTGAGGGAAAATAAAAGGCCATTGCCTTTAGGAATGTTTATGATTCGTTTTTTTTTGTTTTTATTATTCAATATCAATAAATCATGAATCAACATCAGACAATGATTAGAACTTGTCTAATATTTCACTTCATCATTTGTATATAAGAAGAATGATAGTCTTATTTTAATATACACAATCATATCATAATACGAATGGTAACGAAATAATGATATCGGAGTACCTAAGATTTCGATCAAAATCTAACTTTCTACATATTAACTAACATAGTCAATTAACCTATAATGAAATAATCTATGTCATATGTATCGAAAAGGTCATTCTTCATAATTACTTTAAATAGTTGAAAGCATTTTAAATTAACTATTATTTTTAAAATTGTCTTTCATAGAAATCAATGTCTGTCTATGTATCATCATGAAAGGAAATGACATTGGAAGGCGAGGGAACGGAAAGTTTTTCTGTCTGGATATTATTTATGCTTTTTTTTTTCTTTTACTTAACATTAATAAAGGAGAGCATTAATGTAAAACAATCATTTGACTTATGGTCAATCTATAATTGAACACTATTACCATTTCTTACTTGTTGATCATTAACTATTAACATTCTTCTTTTTTTGTTTCTTATTGAGTAAATAAATAAATAAATAAATATACATTTAGTATTTAACAAAAAGAAGGTCTATCGCTTCTTCCATCATAATCGTATTAACAATAAGAATAATAATATAAGAACATATAAGTATCCGGTTAAAATGCTTTAATAGTACTTACCGTCTGCTTCATTTCTCACATTTTCCTCTCTCTTTTCTACATACGTTTAGACACTTCAGTTCAAGTTTAGTTCACCAAAAAAAAATTAGTTGATACTTTGTGCGGCTTCCTTTTTTTTATGTTCTCGTTAATGCGGTGAACTTTTTTCCTCTTTCTGCATTCTATCTATTCCAATGTATTATATTAACAACCAAAGGAAATAGTAACCAATGGTCCTATCAAGAGTTACACATGCGTACATTCTTGGAATAGACAATGAGTGACCTGATTCTTGTTCTTTGTATTTATTTGAACTGTGTATGAGAAAGGAAATGAATATTTGTATCAAATATTTTTACTTCAAATACAACATGAAATTATTAAAAAAAAAAAAGTAGATAAATAATGAATTGTGTCAAAAATTTTATTAAATTGATTATTTCATCAAAATTCAAATTTTAATGATTATCTTTATTAATGACAAAGTTTTATTTTAACATTACCTATGACATTTTATGATATACTGTCTTGAGATTAATAATATATGACATAAGACAGAGCTGGACAAGTTCGGAGTTGACTCAAGTCATTTATTGAAAAAAGCAAAAGTTGATGATTTCTTTTGTTTGAACAAATATTGTTCTACTAATCTCGGGTAGTTCCATTCGGAAAAAATACTCAATGTCTAGTGCCTGTAAAAAAAATTTCAGCTCGATCGAACATAGCATCTTGAAGAAACGGAGAAGGGACGGTTTTTCGCTGTTGTGAACCCATTATCTCATAGAAGACGGCATCCAAGAACTTTGAGTCTATGATAACTTTCGCTCTACTTGTTAAGATCTACTTAGCCTGAAAATTTCAAATATTTCTGATCAGCCATTCTTCAGAAATTTCGAAAGTTTATAAAAATTGATGTTTATTTTTACTAAAAATAAATAGAAAACGAAAAAATGACAAAAATAATATGTCTCGTCCAACCCCGGTATAAGATTTGTAAAACAATCAATTTAATTCGATAAAAATATTATTTGTATTCCATATGAAGGAGAGAATAGGATCATTTCTTTTCATTTTGTGGCACATCTGTGATATTAATGACACGCGTAAAGTAATACAAGAGAATTCCCAAAACGATTATGATGGATGCATAACGTTGAGAAATTTATCATTGAATAAGACCTATTCATCGATGCTAGGACTAATCATCGCATGACACGTTAGTCTGAAAGTATTCTGAAGGAGCATTGAAGGTGAATGGGTGAGGGTACACAAAAGATCTATCAAAAATCCTGATTTTCAGTTTTGGTCAGTTCGATTTTAGCAACAGTATGAATCAATAGAAAAAGCATAGAAGAAATAAATAACTGTTATGGTTAGAAATCATAATCTTTTAGCTCATCTTCTTGATAGTGAAAATACATTTAATTCATAAAAATGAGTTCCAATATTTTATTTGTACCTGTTTCGAATGTTTATTCCAAGACAAGTTTTTATAAAATATGACAAAAAGAAGTCAAACTAGAAATTATCTTATTGGTGCCAAAACGAAAATTTGAATAATCGGTTATTCAAGTTTTATAAATTTTCACAATCACTTCCTAAATTATCAAGAATTGTCAAAGTAATTTTTTTCTCGCAAGAAAATACTTATGCTTACTTTCTTTTTA